CCCCTAGTATTTTATTGTCATTGACCTTTTTACTTTCTTTTTGTATATTACTCACAACTTCCCTCTTTAAACGCTTTAGTTTTTGTTTCATATCCAGTTTTAAGTTGAAGTCTAGATTGGAATTAATTTCTTTACTGAGTGCAATCATCTCCCTTTGTAGTTTTTTGGTATCCTCTGTCAGCTTAATTTTACCCATCTGATTTGCTCTTTGTATAACACGCTTCAAAGGGAACGACTTCTCAAAGTGTGATACAAGAGTTTCCATAAATATTTGACTCTTATTATCAATTGAATTAGTTTGGTAAACTTGTTCCCAGTTTTCTTGTTCAAGAATAGAGAAGAAATTTAGGTAATTCTCGTCTGTGTAGCTTCTAGCATATTTGAAAGTATCCTTAATTTTTTCGACTGGAAGGTCAGTCACAACAGAGACAGCACTATGGTCTGAGAAGTGTATAGGAATTATTGTAAATGTGCTCTCTAATTTAAAGTTGGCGTAAACATGGTCTAGTAATGTACCTCCGCTCTGATTAATTCTAGTTAAATCATTATCATTTAACAGATTATAATTATGAAATTTCATAATCTCCCTTAATTTTATACTATGCTCACTTTTACTCATCAAGTCAATATTGAGATCACCTGCTAATATCACATGGCCGCTAAATCTATTTTGCATAAGAATTGTATCCAGATGTTCAAGAAAATCCGTAATATTACTGTTTGATTTTGGATTACTGGGACGGTAGACACCAATTACATTAATGTTCTCTGAACCCAAAGTTAATTTGCTGGCACAAAATTCGAAAAACATTTCCTTTGAGAACATTTTAATGGTTTTTTGTGTGGCTTTCAGAAGTTTATTTTTCAGAATTAATACCCCACCTCTTTCATATTTTTTGATATTACGACCAAAAGAAGCAATAAGTTCAAACCCCTCAAGGTAAAAGTTTCCCACTTCACTTGAGTCGAGCCAGTGTTCTGTAACTACAATGATGTCGGGTCTGTCTTTCAAATTTTGAACAAAATCTTGAAATTCTGTAAATTTTTCAGGTGTCTTAAGGCCTCTTACATTTAAGTTTAATATTTTAAATTTATTTACGCGATTTTTTGCAGAGATTTGCTGCTGGGGTTTTTTGGATATTTCTTTCTATTGCTAATTGAATTTGAGTTTGAGGGTGATGGTGCTGCTATCTTCGGGGATGGAGCCGATGGGGCGGGCTGCCTACTCAGGTGGCGCGCGGCCCTAGGGCCGGCCTCCTTTCTCGGCAGCGATCGCCTGATGTTTCCCGCGACTGTCCCACGTTGCCCGACCGAGACTGAGACTTTCTCGGCCAGCGCGTCGATGCTGCGCCTCATGCCAGACAGCTCACTGGCCAGATCTGCCGTACTGGGCGCATCATGAGCCACGGTTTGGGTTGAATGGGGCTGTGCTGGGGGCTCGAGCGGAGAGAGGGGTGAGACTTTGGGTACTTCCAAGATACCGACTATTACCTTCTCATTGGGAATTTGCCGGGGGGGTCGGTGATCGGAATCAAGTGGGGGCAGCTGGTGCAGGCTACCCCCACCGGCAAAATTTTCCCGAAGATTCTCAGCCTCCCTTGCTCCTTCCAGGTCAGCAAAGAACTTTGCCAGACTCATAGACTCCTTCTTGCCGTCGCCTCCTCCAGAGTAGTTGGTGGCCTCCAGACTAAAATTATTTTCCTCCTCAGGGTAGGTTGACTGATTCAAATTTAATTCACCTTTGTTTGCAGGTGATGAGGTGGGGCTGGACGCACGGGAGGGCACCCCAGCTTTTTTACAGGTCTCCGGTGTGCGCCCAGCTTGTCCACCTGATCCTGCTGTAGTTTTGGCCGCTTTTGACGGGGCACGGCCACGCCCGGGGTCAGCTGCGGGCCTCGCCACCTGCTCCTGGCGCGCCTGCTGTTTGGTCATGTCTATCTCCCATCGGCGAGTAGGCGAAGTTTTTTGTTTTTTTAGGTGGCTCGGCGGCGCAGCTGAAACAAGAGAGACAAGAGATGAGTTATTTTGTTTTTCACCCTGGGATGGAGAATTTATAGCGCTTTGGCTTAGCCTGCTGTTTGATGATTGGTACCTGACGATATATGTCGATTTTTATGATCAGACTTAGAATTAAAAATTCAAAATATGAGGTACTTGGTACTTATAAATATTTTTTTTGACTTTCTGAAAAGGTCTCAGTGACACTTATGAAGACCCTACGTTTTCACATTTTTTTCAATGAATTCCAAGTCTAATATTTATTGGTACCTGACTAACCTGACGATATATGTCGATTTTTATGATCAGACTTAGAATTAAAAATTCAAAATATGAGGTACTTGGTACTTATAAATATTTTTTTTGACTTTCTGAAAAGGTCTCAGTGACACTTATGAAGACCCTACGTTTTCACATTTTTTTCAATGAATTCCAAGTCGTATATTTATTGGTACCTGACGATATATGTCGATTTTTATGATCGGACTTAGAATTAAAAATTCAAAATATGAGGTACTTGGTACTTATAAATATTTTTTTTGACTTTCTGAAAAGGTCTCAGTGACACTTATGAAGACCCTACGTTTTCACATTTTTTTCAATGAATTCCAAGTCTAATATTTATTGGTACCTGACTAACCTGACGATATATGTCGATTTTTATGATCAGACTTAGAATTAAAAATTCAAAATATGAGGTACTTGGTACTTATAAATATTTTTTTTGACTTTCTGAAAAGGTCTCAGTGACACTTATGAAGACCCTACGTTTTCACATTTTTTTCAATGAATTCCAAGTCGTATATTTATTGGTACCTGACGATATATGTCGATTTTTATGATCAGACTTAGAATTAAAAATTCAAAATATGAGGTACTTGGTACTTATAAATATTTTTTTTGACTTTCTGAAAAGGTCTCAGTGACACTTATGAAGACCCTACGTTTTCACATTTTTTTCAATGAATTCCAAGTCGAATATTTATTGGTACCTGACGATATATGTCGATTTTTATGATCGGACTTAGAATTAAAAATTCAAAATATGAGGTACTTGGTACTTATAAATATTTTTTTTGACTTTCTGAAAAGGTCTCAGTGACACTTATGAAGACCCTACGTTTTCACATTTTTTTCAATGAATTCCAAGTCGTATATTTATTGGTACCTGACGATATATGTCGATTTTTATGATCAGACTTAGAATTAAAAATTCAAAATATGAGGTACTTGGTACTTATAAATATTTTTTTTGACTTTCTGAAAAGGTCTCAGTGACACTTATGAAGACCCTACGTTTTCACATTTTTTTCAATGAATTCCAAGTCTAATATTTATTGGTACCTGACTAACCTGACGATATATGTCGATTTTTATGATCAGACTTAGAATTAAAAATTCAAAATATGAGGTACTTGGTACTTTTTTGACTTTCTGAAAAGGTCTCAGTGACACTTATGAAGACCCTACGTTTTCACATTTTTTTCAATGAATTCCAAGTCGTATATTTATTGGTACCTGACGATATATGTCGATTTTTATGATCAGACTTAGAATTAAAAATTCAAAATATGAGGTACTTGGTACTTATAAATATTTTTTTTGACTTTCTGAAAAGGTCTCAGTGACACTTATGAAGACCCTACGTTTTCACATTTTTTTCAATGAATTCCAAGTCGTATATTTATTGGTACCTGACGATATATGTCGATTTTTATGATCAGACTTAGAATTAAAAATTCAAAATATGAGGTACTTGGTACTTATAAATATTTTTTTTTACTTTCTGAAAAGGTCTCAGTGACACTTATGAAGACCCTACGTTTTCACATTTTTTTCAATGAATTCCAAGTCGTATATTTATTGGTACCTGACGATATATGTCGATTTTTATGATCAGACTTAGAATTAAAAATTCAAAATATGAGGTACTTGGTACTTATAAATATTTTTTTTGACTTTCTGAAAAGGTCTCAGTGACACTTATGAAGACCCTACGTTTTCACATTTTTTTCAATGAATTCCAAGTCGTATATTTATTGGTACCTGACGATATATGTCGATTTTTATGATCGGACTTAGAATTAAAAATTCAAAATATGAGGTACTTGGTACTTATAAATATTATTTTTGACTTTCTGAAAAGGTCTCAGTGACACTTATGAAGACCCTACGTTTTCACATTTTTTTCAATGAATTCCAAGTCGTATATTTATTGGTACCTGACGATATATGTCGATTTTTATGATCGGACTTAGAATTAAAAATTCAAAATATGAGGTACTTGGTACTTATAAATATTTTTTTTGACTTTCTGAAAAGGTCTCAGTGACACTTATGAAGACCCTACGTTTTCACATTTTTTTCAATGAATTCCAAGTCGTATATTTATTGGTACCTGACGATATATGTCGATTTTTATGATCAGACTTAGAATTAAAAATTCAAAATATGAGGTACTTGGTACTTATAAATATTTTTTTTGACTTTCTGAAAAGGTCTCAGTGACACTTATGAACCCCCCGTTTTCACATTTTTTTCAATGAATTCCAAGTCGTATATTTATTGGTACCTGACGATATATGTCGATTTTTATGATCGGACTTAGAATTAAAAATTCAAAATATGAGGTACTTGGTACTTATAAATATTTTTTTTGACTTTCTGAAAAGGTCTCAGTGACACTTATGAAGACCCTACGTTTTCACATTTTTTTCAATGAATTCCAAGTCGTATATTTATTGGTACCTGACGATATATGTCGATTTTTATGATCAGACTTAGAATTAAAAATTCAAAATATGAGGTACTTGGTACTTATAAATATTTTTTTTGACTTTCTGAAAAGGTCTCAGTGACACTTATGAAGACCCTACGTTTTCACATTTTTTTCAATGAATTCCAAGTCGTATATTTATTCAAGATTCAAGATTCAAGATTCAAGATTTGTTTATTTTGTTAAGCATTATATACCACATAATATACATAGCAATAACCACTTTTTAAAATAAGTCAATATACATTATTATTTAAACGATAAAATTCGTTCAGGTCATAGAATTGATGTTCTAATACAAAAGCTTTCACCATTTTTACAAGAACCTCGTCATTTTCAAGGACTTTTAAAGATTTAGGTAATGCATTGAAAATTCTGGGGATCATGATTTCTGGGTTTTCTACTGATTTCTTGAGCTTAACTTCTTTCACAACCAAATCATTACAGGAAAGGTTTGACTGATTGTGTCTAGTCACTCTCCTCGTATCTACACTATCACTATATTTACGAAATAGATGTCGGTTTTGCACTAAGAATTTTACACATTCGAGTATATACAATGATGGCACGGTCATTATATTATATTTGACAAATAATGGTTTACAAGTATCCAACGCTTCATTAGATCTCCAGTATGGAATGCCCGCCATTGCTCTCAACGCTCTTTTCTGTGCTCTAAATACTTTTATTAAATGACTGGAGCCCCCCCAAATTACAATTCCATACATTATATGACTTTGAACATGAGCGAAGTAGATCAATTTAAGAATATTATCTGACACCTTGTATTTCAGTCTAGTGAACACATGAGAGACTCCTCTCATTTTGCTAACAACCTTATCACAGTGATCGTTCCAGTTAAGTGTGTCATTTATTTGTACTCCCAGAAGTTTACCAGATTTACATATTTCAATATTTTTATCTTCGATCTTAACATCAGGTTGAACTAGATTTTTCGTTTGGCTAGTGTGTATTTGTAATATTTTGGATTTTTCTGAATTAATCCTCAAAAAATTGTCATTAGCAAAGCTGACAAAACTCTCATTAACAGCCACCGTTTTAGTATTGACCTCAGGGAAAGACTCTCCCTTGACTATAGCCGTTGAGTCGTCGGCGAACAAAACCAGGAGGGCCAAGAATACAGCAAGGGGGATATCATTTAAATACATTGAAAACCCAATTGGGCCGAGAACTGTGCCTTGCGGCACACCCCTGTTACTTTCTAGTATATCCGAGTTAATAAACTCCTCGTATCCATCACAACCAAGGTTCTTAAGTTGTACAAATTGTTCCCTATTTGATAAGAAGCAGGCCAACCACGAGAGCAAGTTCTCATTTAGCCCGTACTGTTTTAATTTATACACAAGGAGAGGTGGATGTAGAGTGCCAAATGCATTAGAGAAATCATACAAGATAACATTCACTTTTTCTTTTGCTTCTACTGATTCGTACAAAGATGTTACATAACTATATAGAGCGGTTACAGTATTTTTTCCCTTTCTAAATCCATGTTGTTCAGGTATTTGAATATTATTACTATTTAAGTGGTTTTCCAGTCTATTTAAAAAAGCTTTCTCATACACTTTTGATATTGATGATGTAATCGCAATTGGTCTATAATTCGAAGGGTCTTCTTTTTCTCCTTTTTTAAACAGTGGTATAATTTTTGCTAGTTTCATATTTTCGGGAAATTTTCCTTCCGAGAATGATACATTAATAAGATGAGTAAGCGGGGCTGTTATATATTTAGAAATATTTTTTAAGACGGTAGTTGATATTCCATCCCACCCTGAGGAGGTTTTGGATGAGAGGTTATTAATAATACTATAAATTTCAAACTCTCCCATCAGTTGTAAATCTTGTGTAACACATATATCACCTTTGAGTTTTGAGCAATCATGAATATTCACATTATTTACATCAGGCTCTGGTTCAATAAATCCATTATTCAGGCAATTAGCAATGTTTAATTTAATTATTTCTCTTGTTCCATTAATATTAAGTTCCTGTATCAACTCTACATTCTTATTTTTACCAGATTGGGAATTTATAATTTTCCATGCTGCGCTGGATTTATTTTTTGCCCCTAGTATTTTATTGTCATTGACCTTTTTACTTTCTTTTTGTATATTACTCACAACTTCCCTCTTTAAACGCTTTAGTTTTTGTTTCATATCCAGTTTTAAGTTGAAGTCTAGATTGGAATTAATTTCTTTACTGAGTGCAATCATCTCCCTTTGTAGTTTTTTGGTATCCTCTGTCAGCTTAATTTTACCCATCTGATTTGCTCTTTGTATAACACGCTTCAAAGGGAACGACTTCTCAAAGTGTGATACAAGAGTTTCCATAAATATTTGACTCTTATTATCAATTGAATTAGTTTGGTAAACTTGTTCCCAGTTTTCTTGTTCAAGAATAGAGAAGAAATTTAGGTAATTCTCGTCTGTGTAGCTTCTAGCATATTTGAAAGTATCCTTAATTTTTTCGACTGGAAGGTCAGTCACAACAGAGACAGCACTATGGTCTGAGAAGTGTATAGGAATTATTGTAAATGTGCTCTCTAATTTAAAGTTGGCGTAAACATGGTCTAGTAATGTACCTCCGCTCTGATTAATTCTAGTTAAATCATTATCATTTAACAGATTATAATTATGAAATTTCATAATCTCCCTTAATTTTATACTATGCTCACTTTTACTCATCAAGTCAATATTGAGATCACCTGCTAATATCACATGGCCGCTAAATCTATTTTGCATAAGAATTGTATCCAGATGTTCAAGAAAATCCGTAATATTACTGTTTGATTTTGGATTACTGGGACGGTAGACACCAATTACATTAATGTTCTCTGAACCCAAAGTTAATTTGCTGGCACAAAATTCGAAAAACATTTCCTTTGAGAACATTTTAATGGTTTTTTGTGTGGCTTTCAGAAGTTTATTTTTCAGAATTAATACCCCACCTCTTTCATATTTTTTGATATTACGACCAAAAGAAGCAATAAGTTCAAACCCCTCAAGGTAAAAGTTTCCCACTTCACTTGAGTCGAGCCAGTGTTCTGTAACTACAATGATGTCGGGTCTGTCTTTCAAATTTTGAACAAAATCTTGAAATTCTGTAAATTTTTCAGGTGTCTTAAGGCCTCTTACATTTAAGTTTAATATTTTAAATTTATTTAAGAAGATGATACCCACCTGGATACAACTTTTGGAGAATATTTTCATATGGTGGGCTATTATTTTATTATTAGGCAGGGCCGCGCGCGCCTGTATTGTACACAGGGCGGCAGCGGTGCGAGCGCGAGAGAGAGGCGCGCATACATCTTTTATACTTGTAATATTTTGGCTGGCTGTGTGTATTTTATTTTAACGCGGGCCGGCAGCGGTGCGAGAAAGAGTCGATCTCGTGAACTTAGAATATTTCTTTTCGTTGAAATTTTATTTTATAGCTGGTGTGGACTTAGCGCGCGCAGCAGAAGAGAGTGTGTATTTTATTTGTACAGCGAGCGAGGTGCACTTGGTGTGTGCTGGAGAGAGAGTGGCGAGCAGCAGCAGGCAGAATCGATTGACTGCGCCGCGGGAGACTTAATTTATTTTTCCTTCTCTCGCTGGCGGTGCAGTCGTGCGGTCGCGAGTTGAAATTCTAATAGGTGGACTTAGAAAATTTCGTGCAGCGGACGCAGCAGAAGAGAGTGTGTATTTTATTAATACAGCGAGCGAGGCGCGCTTGGTGCGTGCTGGCGAGAGAGTGGCGAGCAGCAGCGGGCGGATTGACTGCGCCGCGGAAGACTAATTTATTTTTCCTTCTCTCGCTGGCGCGGCAGTCGTGCGGTCGCGAGTCAAACATAATGGCTGGACTTTCGTGCGTCGGACTCTCTTCAATGAATATGGTTCTCTCGAGAGCCAAATTGTTTCACGCAACAGCCGTTTATAATTTTAGTCGCGTGTAATGAGAATAATGATATTTGTGTTTTATTTTTATGTAGCGATACCATTTTTTTATTTTATTAAGGACACGCATTTTTTAATATATGAACTTTGAGATTTTGGTGCGAACTCGAGGGTGTGTGTTGTAAGTCGAGGTTTACGGAGTGTACTAAAAAATTTAAAATTTTTATTTTATTAAATATTATTTAATAATATAATTTAAAAATATATTATATTCATTGCGCCGGCGCATTGGTACTATTCTGCGATTCGTTAACCCTGGATGGGGGGAGTTAATGGGGGTGTACGTAGTGGGGCGTAGGGTATAAGAGAGGGTCAAGCAAAGGGTCGGCATCATTCTTGGCTGCTCGAGAAGATCGTCCGTCCTTAAAAAAAATCAAAATGGAACCCTTGACCCCTCCGATCTCCCCTGCTCGTCCTGCTCAGAATAATGTAAGTTGTTTGCGATGAAACTTAGAAATATTCAAAAAAATATTAAATGTCTTATTCTTTTCATATAGGTGGATGAGGTGAAGGTGAAGGTGGAGCCTGTTGAAGAAATGGCTGAAGAGCCATCCAAACCGAGCAAGTTGGATGAAGCAATGGAAGAAGATTTCCAGCAGAGTTCGAGAGCTTTGGACTTTTCAATGATTAGCTCGATCAGCGGCTATAATAGTCAGGAACATAGTCTTGCTGTGAGTTATTGAGAAATTATTATTAAAAAGTTCAATATTTTAATAAACTGTTTTCTTTTTTCAGTCTGCTGACACAGTCTATAATGGTAGCAGCAGCAGCAGCAGCAGGGGGAGTAGCAGTGGTGATGAGAGCAGCTCGATGGATATTAAGGTTTGTTTGAAATGAACCAAAATTTCTGAACGAATTTTAAAATTTGTTACATCTTGTCTGCCTAGAATGATGATTTACCTGACGATCCTCACAATCTGCGCATTCTGCACACCTTTGTTGAACTTGACCTGCTGCCGAGGGAAGTTACTGGGATTCAAGAGACTGCTGCCATGTCGCTGGTGGACTTGGAGAAGTTGGTCACTTTCAAGGAGAAGTTTTTCAACCTCGGAGACGAGAAGACCCATGCTGGCCACTTGTACGACGTGGAGAATTGTTTCTTTCGTCAGGGGTTGCCTGCTTTGTACGAAACCACATATTGTGTTCCTGGTTCCGTTGATTTTCATATGGGATTTCTGATTTTGTACAATAAGAAAAATCACAATTTTGAGCTCAAGTTTTATCTACGTGTCGGAGAGCGCCAGATCATTGTTACCGAGTTTCAAGACTTTTACAGAATGTTATTCAGCACTGATCTTGCCACTCTAGAGAAAGATTACGGAGAATTTATTTTGTTTGAGAACATTGTTGGTAAAGTTAAGCGAGATGCTCACAATTGTGACTGGCTAATTCTGTACCAAGTTTGGGATAATTATCATCACCGACTTGGAGTTGACAACGAACCTTTTAGAATTGTAATGAGCGAAAGGCAGCATACCAGACTCCAGAAAACTATGATTACAGAAATGCACGTGTCGCATTTATACATGAAAAAACTCACTGCTTCTGCAAACATTTGTATGTCCACTGCCATTGGGCTTGCCTACAACGGCTTAAAGATGAAATGTAAGGGTTGTCGCCAAAACAACCCGTACGATCACATTTGTCGTACCTTTGAATTTTCCAGAACTGTTCACAATGCTCTTGGTAATGAGCTCGAGAGACTTGTTGTGGAGGACAAGGACCACTTTCAATGTGAAATCTACGGAAGACTCTTGAAATTGGTCAAATCCGAGTACTCTCTGAGAGACATTCTTTCTGAAATGCTGGTTAATGACAATGGACTAGCACTTGGTGGAAATATGATTGGAGGTAGAATTCCTGGGTGGGTTTCTGAGTTCAAAGCTCCCTCGAGTGAGTACATCAGAGCCAAGTACAGAATTGTTGATTACGATATGATTGATGGTGCAGATGATGATGATGATATGGACTTGTAAAACTTTGGCCGCTGAATCAGAAAATATGTCTTGATGGTTTATTTTTAAGTTTTATTTTTACGATTTTCTGAACTTTGTATCACATTTGAAATAATATAAAAATAAACTGTATAAATAGACTTGAAAACTCGTTTGTTTCATTCAGTTTCAAACATGGTGATACCTTGGAAGCATCCATTTTGCTGCACACTAGCAGGTTAGAATTAAATATAGCTTTTATGGAAATAGCATCAAAGTTAAATTAATTTTTATGTAGGGCCGACTTCATGCGGCAAGACGAGATTTATTACTGACTTTTTGAGCAACTTGGATAGAATGGTTGACACAGCGATAACAGAAATTATTTGGTGCTACGGTGTCTCACAAAAGTTTCACTCCGAGTTGGTCAACATGTTCAGCGTTCCATTCAAGTTGTACGAGGGAATGCCAGCCCTGGACGAGATCAGCAGCATCAACTCAGGACCGAAGATTGTGGTTTTGGATGACCTTCAGAGCTCGACAGACAAAAATATGGAAAACTTCTTTACTTATGGTTCTCATCATAGGTCGCTGAGTATTTTTAGAACGACTCAAAATATTTTCTACAGGGGTAAAGGCCAGAGGGACATAACATTAAACTCGCATTATGTGACGCTGTTTTTGAACCCCAGAGAAAGATCTCAAATTTCGAGTTTTGCACGTCAGGTTGATCCGCAGAATACGGCGTTTGTGATGGAAAGTTACAGAGATGCCACTTCCACACCTCACTCTTACTTACTATTTGATTTTACGCAGGATATTGACAATGATTTGAGATTGAGAACTAAGATATTTCCCGGGGAAGAGAACATTATTTATGTGGCCAAGAAGAAAAATGGGTATAAATAGAAGTCGAGTTCTAAAATTATCATTAGCAATCATGAGTCAAAGATTGAAAGAACAAAAACTTGTGTTGAAGAAGCTTGTAAAATGCTGTGCCAAGGAGAGGCGCAAAATTTTACACGATTCTGGAGATGAGACTATCAAGTGCATCTGCGAATGTGCACTGAACGTATTAAAAAGAAACGTTCCTCTCACGGACGATCAGTTTAAGAAATTACGCAGACACAAGCAGACCTTAAGGTTTTTGGCAGACAGGCGGGTAGCAGTTAAAACAAAAAGAAAAAAGATCAAGCAGGCGGGTGGATTTTTGCTTCCCCTTTTGATTCCAATTATTACTTCGGTTATTTCAGCTCTTGCAAAATGATGCATACCACAAAGATGGTGCTGGTTCCGCAGGAAATCGCAAGAGCGTTGAGCGAAGATATTCCTCAAGCTCCTGCTCCTGTTGGTTCATATTCAGCAATGGACGAGGAGATGAGAAAAATATTAAGTGACAAAAGTTTAGATTCACTTTCCAAATGGCGCAAATACGAGAGTGTTTTGCAAAGATACATGACCAAAGCAGAGCGAACGAAAAATTCTTTATTCATGCAAGAATCAGATTCAGAGGATGACGATAAGGGTAAAGATGGAGCCGCTGCTCCTCAACCACCACCAGCCAAGAGGGCTAAAGGAGCCCCAAAAAAAGACAAAGCCGCTCAAAATAAAGCTAACGCGGCTCCGAAAAAACGAGCAGCAGTGGCAGCTACCAAAAAAACAGCGAAAGCTGTAGGGAAACGATCCGTCGCTGCACCACCGGCTGCAAATTCCTCAGCGGCTGCGACTCCAAATTCAAGTGCAGCAATGAACCACGAGGTAGAACAGTTTGTGAAAATTGGTGATCCTTCTCAAAGGAAAAAGGCTGAAGATTTATATGATATTCTGACCAATGCAAAGAGTGTGTCCTGGACAGCTTCAGGGCACATGAGTATAAATGGGAAGGTGAGTGGAAGAGTTGGCACACTCATCAAGTACACTGTCAACGGACAAAGAGGAAGACAGCCTGCTGGTTGGGAATCGTTCAGACCACTTCTCAAGAGTTTAAAAGTGCCAGCGAGAATAATTTCTTTCAGTACAGAAAAGGATTTGTCTGAAGATTTGCAAACGCCAGGTCGAGAAAGACGTACTCTTTTTGGGAAAAATAAATCTCACAATAATGCCAGCTGGCTCTACTATAAGTGACAAGGTCAAAAAGAAATTGAGTGAAATATATTTCAATATTTCGCATCCTGCAGGTTTTTCCAGCGTCAGAAAATTAGCCGAAGCAGCTGGTGTTCATTATAATGTTGCCAAGGAGTGGCTCTCTGGCGAAGAAGCATACACTGTTCATAGACCAATTAAACGTAACTTCAAGAAGAATAGATACATAATTCCCACTTTGGGTTGGTTGTATGAAGCTGATTTGGCTGAATTTCAACCGTTAGCAGATAAAAATGACAATTACAGATATCTTCTTTGTGTTATTGATGGTTTTTCTAAGATGGCCGCGGTGGAACCTTTGAAAAATAAAACTGGTCCAACCGTCAAGGAGGCACTCGAAAAGATTTTTGAAAGGTTAGGTCCTAGTGATGTACTAAGGACCGATCGAGGACTTGAATTTTTAAATTCTTCAGTAAAAAAATTCTTAGATGAAAATGGAGTTCAACACATTGTCACTGATAACACAGTTAAAGCGAGTCAAGTTGAGAGACTGATCAGAACATTAAAATCACGTCTTTATTCTTACTTTCGGCATTTTGGGAAAGAGAGATACGTGGATGTAATTCAAGATGTAGTTTCTGCGTACAATAATACAGTACATTCGGGTATAGGAAAAAAGCCAATTGAAGTAAACTCTAAAAATGCGCGTGAAGTTTGGAAATTTTTATATTCCGGAGCTGGCCGTTATCCTAAGCTAGAAGCCCCGCTTAAAATGCACAATAAAAAAGCCAAATTTAAGGTGGGAGACACAGTTAAAATATCAGAGGCAAAAATGCAATTTAGCAAAGGCTACCATCCTAATTGGACTTACGAATATTTTATTGTAGATAAAATAATTAAACGAAATCCGTTCTGCGTATACAAATTGAAAGATAGTGCCGGGGAAGAAATCACTGGTACCTTTCAGGATGAAGAACTCCAATTGGTTAATATTCATGAGGAAAAAGAATTTCACATTGATAAAATCATCAAGTCAAGGGGGAAAGGTGCCAGTAAGCAACTTTTCGTGTCTTGGAAAGGTTATCCATCAAAGTTTAACAGCTGGATCAGTGCAAAGGACGTAAGGGAGTTAGACAAGCAATAAAAAAATGGATCATTTTTTTTTAACTGTCAGCAGTAATTCAACTTGTGAATTCAAGGAGCAAAATAAACCATCAAGTTTCAGAGTGCACTTGGGGCAAGCAATTGAGTTGGTTGGCACTTGGGAGGTTGCTTTATTCGAGGTCAATTTTCCATCAACGTACCCAAATGTTAGGAATAGTCAATGCTTCATTGAAAGAGAACACAATCTTTTAAAAGCAACTTTACCTTGTGTTAGCGGTGCAGGTAAGGCAACCGTATGCAACGAGGACAATGTGCCAGTTAATAAAATTGGGGGCTACAAATATCATATTCCAGAAAATTATTATCACACGCAGGAGGAATTTTTTAATATCGTAAATGAAACATTGAGCACCACCGCAGAATTTTACGTTTCAGACGAAGGAAAAGTTGTGTTCACAAGTAACATGTTGGCTAGTACTGACACGGAAATTATAAATTATAAGTTTTCCGATCATCTGACTGATATTTTGGGATTCCAGAGAGGCGCAGAGATTGAGTTAGGCGAGAGCAAAATTTCCCACTTGAATTGTGATTTAAAAAAAGGACTACCTACATCATTGGTTTTCTGCACCGACATTGTAGCAGAGCAAAAGGTGAATAACTCTCATTTTAAAATCCTCCGCTCTGTCCACCTTAAACCTGAGAAATATAATTATGGTTATCAGCAGAACGAGCAGTTTAAAAGACTAGTTTTCGTTCCAGTCGTGAAAAAAAAATTAGATTTTCTGGAATTCTATATAAGAGATGAGTTTGGAGATTTGGTTTCATTTGCTCACGGAACTGTCAGACTAATGTTACTTTTCAGACGATCAGGAAATGGATACTGATCGGTACTATAATTATTACTATTCGCAATCTAGAGGTGTCGGTGCGGGTTTCAAATTACCTCGAACTCAAAAAGGGGCAGGTGTTGGAAGTTTTTTGGCTGGAATATTTAGGAGAATTTTTCCGTACGTGAAGAGTGGTGCGAAAGCCTTGGGAAACGAGATTTTAGACACTGGAGTTAACATCTTGAGGTCCAGTTTGAACAAGGAACCAATAAAGGAGAGCCTAGAAAAACATATTACTAACGCAGGCAAAAACTTGGGGGCAAAAGCAGCGACGGCAACCAAATCGATGCTCGGAATGGGGTATAAAAGAAAGCGTAGCTGTTCGACTGGCCAGTCTAAAGCTGCCAAGCGACGACGAACCAAACCAGCTGCCAAGAAGAAGCCGAAAAAACCAAAACAAGCTAAAAAAAAGCGCCGTAGAGATATTTTTGGATAAAAAAAAGATAGAAAAAAATGCCAGTTGAACCGCAAGAAGCTCTAATTTCAGAGCTTGACCTCTTTCAACCACCACTCGTTCAATCGTCAGCTGTTGCTGGTGATTGGATGACGTACAAACCTGTTCAAGCACTCTCGTCAACCGCACCAATTACATTTATCGTACCTTCAAATGGTGACTGCTATGTCGATATGAGTAAAACTCTGTTTTACTGCAGAGCGAAAATCATAAATGCTGCAGGCAATGCAGCCTACGGTGCTGGTGTTAATTACTCAGTTGTAAATAATTTACTAGGTTCACTTTTCAACGAAGTGAAGCTTGATCTCAATCAGACAACCGTTTCTCAAACTCATGGGATGTATATGTACAGGTCTTACTTGGAGACTCTGTTTTCTTTTAATGAAACTGCCAAAGATTCACACCTCACATCAAGCTTATTTTATCTTGACGAAGCTGGAAAATTTGAGGACGCAACTTCCACAGCTCTGATTAAACGTCAATCATTTGTGAGTGCAAGCAAAGAAGTGGATTTATTCGGACGATTGCATTGCGATGTTTTAAATAGCAGTAGATATCTACTTAACGAGATTGAAATGAAGTTTACGCTAACTAAGAACACGTCTAACCTTATTGTTTGGGAATCTACTCCAGCCGCAGGCGTTGCTGCTCTAACTCCTGAGGTTGTGATCACTGATGCGACCTTGTACATTAGAAAAGTGAACATAAATCCTTCTGTAATGCTTGCCCACGAAAAAATGCTGCACACCACACCAGCTTTGTATCCCTACAAACGGTGTCAGTTAATAAATTTTACCGTAGCCGCGGGAATTTATCAGAAAACTATTGAAAATATGTTTTCCTCGCGCGTACCCAGCAGGATTGTTTTAGGTTTTGTAAAAAATTCAGCTTTTTCAGGAGCACTGGATCAAAATTGTTTTAATTTTGAACATTTCAACGTAAGCCAGTTGACACTGACTGTCAACGGAAGAGTCGTCGGTTCGTCTCCTTTGAAGCCCAATTACGCTACTCACAGAAATCGGTTAGGTACCCATCGTGTTTACAATTGCGATACTTCTAGTATACTTTTAGTATTCATCACGTCTCGCGGTCTAAAACGCTTATTTTTCGGTCCCGCACGCATACATTTGCAATACTCTAGGTTTACTTTTGACAGCTCGCCTGCTGCGCGACCCTTGCCGGCCGCGCTCTAAAATACATGCGTTTGCATCCCTCCCCCTCCTTTCTTTACAAAACACAATAGTTTGACGAGCAGGTATAAAAACCCTCCCTCATAAGGCCCGTGTTAAACAGGTATACAGTTTTTAAAAAGTAAAGCAAGTGAATAGCAAAAGTATAGCTGAAGTATCGCAAAAGTAAACACGATGCGGATCTAAATTTTTTCTGTGAGTATCGACCAGAGTGTGATTCCATTTTTGTTCAGTTTTTACAATATGGGCAACTGCGGGCAGGATGACGGACACACCGTGGACCGCGAAACCTACCCTAAGGGGTTTTGTCTGTATGCCTTTGACCTTAGCGCTGACCTCTCTGCCAGCGAAAGTTATTGGTCTTCTCCTCAACAAGGAAACGTACGGCTGGAGGTTAACTTTGCTGTGGCTCTCCCTTGCGTGGTTAATATTATTGTCCACGCCGAGCATCAAGATTGTATGGAAATTGACAGAGATAGAAACATCCATTTGCAGTATTTAAAGTAGGGCAGTACAGATCAAATGTCAGTCGCAAACATGATCTGCTTCGTTGAGGTTCAAGGTTACTGCACAAAGGAGCTAGGGTTTCTTCCCAAAGAAGTTGCCTTAGTTGCTGATGATTTGAAAAAAAGTTATCTCATTAAACCACCAAAAGCCTTTAGGAACTTTACCAAAGAGGATCAAAAAACAATAAATTGGGCAACTTTCGGTTACTTCCACATTCCGTGGCCTCTTGGGAACACTGATTATGGTAGCTTCTTGAAAAGTATAAAAGAAGATGTCTCCCCATATTCTGTTATTCTTTCGAAAGGTCCCGAGAAAGTAAGATTCCTCTCTTCAATTCTGAACAGACCTGTACTTGATATCACTTTTTACGGCTGCCCTGCGATAAGAAAAATAAAGGAAGGAAAAACTAAACCTTGCTCTGCACATTTCAAAGAAGATTCGCATTGTGCTATTGCTAATGCAGAATATGGGCTTGAATGGGTGAATGGACACTCAAACATTAGAGAACTGCTTGAAAATACTAAACCTAAACGCTCCTAAGCAGCACACAGTCGGAGTTTTCGCCAGCGATAAAATTCCATCAAAGTTAAAGAAACCTGCTGCCATCATAATTCACTCTGAAATATCGAAAGTTACAACTTACGGTCACTGGACGGCAATTTTTCTTCCAACCAGAGGTTTACCTGTTTATTTTGACAGCTTTGGACTTCCGCCAGTGGTTGAAAACCACATTAAATTTTTGTCAAAGATCTCAAAATTTTACAATTATAATGCCACATGCTACCAGAGTCCCACAGCTCTCACATGTGGGAAGCACACTTTATTGTTTCTTGCGTCAAAAATGGGAATCATTCCAAACACATTTTTTGATACTATTACAAAATTGTCAAAAAATAACCTTGAGCTCAATGACAAAATTGTCGAGCACTGCTGCAATTGGCTGGTTGAAAATCTCGGAAAAAATGGGGGGAATAGTGGAGGGGATGATTCAGGGCTATAAAGCGGCGAGATTCAGAAGATCAGCTTCACACATCTGTGCCCGCCGTCACGCCAAAGTTGTCGTTTTGACTAAAAAAAATTGAAAATCCAGAGCCATGGCTGACATTAAAAAGGGTAAATATGATGCTAAGCTGGTCAAATTTGGGGTGGCCGCGACCCTTTTTGCTGCCAACAAGAGGAAGCAGCTGTATGTCCCCCGTGATCAAACTAAGAAAAATAACTACGTTGAAACAAGCGACAGAGTAAATCAAATTTATCGCTTCGTTTACCCAATAAACAAAAGTGGCACGAAGCAACTGGTGATTGGTGCCGACCCGAAACTTGACTTTCTTCCCACTATGTACATAAGACGGCCTGGTTTTCTGGGAGTTAAGTTGGGCCACGCTGCGAGCAGAATGTTTATGGATCAATTGGAATTAATAAATAACTACTTTGATTCCGACACTCCAGTTTGCCAAGACAAGAAAAAGATAATGTTGGGAGAAGTTGAAACTTTGGAGTTTGGTTCCTTTGGCAACGTCAAAGCCATTCACCTGACTTCAAGAGTTGAAGGCCAAGAGTACGAGCCAAAAATAACTTTGACCAACAGCACGATTGAGTTCATCAATGATTTGAAAGACCTAATCTGGTGGGTTCTCAATTCACTGGATTCGTATGCTGGTGAATTTAAATCAATGTTTGCGGCCTTCAAAAGTAAAATTGAGGAACCTGGATGCCTGCCCTCCACCGAGAAATTGGAAATTCTGCGTCACCTCGAGACAACTGACATCAGCTTTCAGCGGTCTGCCGAGAATCTCAACTTGGATTACTTGAGAGCCTTCATGGAGATTCGAAAATATTGTGAAGCTCATCTGACTGTTTAATAAAAAATTGTATGATATGTTTTAGAGTTAAAAAGAAAATAAAATTGTAAGTTTAAAATGATTTCTGAATAAAATTTATGCTTAACTTAAGAAAAAAAATAAAAGATAAAATTTTGAAAATATTACAAAAAAATGGAGAAATAATGTTATGTAAAAGAACCAATAAATAAATATGCTTGTGAGTGAGAAAAGAAATAATAATAATAAAATTATAATAATAATATTAATGGAACTGACTTCTTAATCAAATGTATGCAAATTTTTTAATTAAATGTAAGTTGATTTTAATTAATAAATCTATGACAATTTAATGAAATAAATAAATAAATAAAATATGCAAAATAAAAAAAACTTTATCAATGGTAAAATATTTCTCCCGCCTCTGCACAAGAGCATGTGGCGTTGCCGCCAATTTTTGAACAAAGAAATAGTAAGACTTCTTAGTGTTGACCAATCATAAGAGACCAGCTGATATCATACATATGTTGGATGACAACAGAATAAAGTCCAACTTTTTAAAATTATTTACATCATGAAAAATAAATAGTAAGAGGCAAGTTCAGCATTTATTAAAATAGAGATTTTAGTATGGAACAAGATGATGACAAAAAATCTTTAGAGAAAGTTACGAGAAACGGCAGGTTTTCGCTGATTTTTTATTCTCATGTTTTTTGTGTTGGTCAGCCTGCAAATATCTAGACTGATTTGTTATTATTTGTTTTGGAGATGATTTTGATCAATTTGGTTTTGGAAGTTTTTTTTTGTTATTTATGGAGTGAAAATTGTTGACAATGCCCATCGAGAGTATTTTTACAAAGAGCAGCAGATCAAAATGCAAAGTTTGTCTTCATTCGGATCTGATTCGTATGAGAAAAAGGTAAATTTTTTGCTTCGAAAAGTTCAATCCACTTCGACCACCAAATAGCACTATTTTTAATGGCCAATTGTGCACTTGAAATCAGCATATTAACATAATAAAAAGTGCATTTTAACAAAATATAAAGTGCATAATGTGATAATGAAAATCTATTTTGTATATTTTTTATTCTGTAATGTCAAACTTTTGAAGCAACAAAATTACATATTTTTAAATGGACATTTTAACCAAATTTTATTAACTTTTTTGTAATGATCTTATGTTTTTTGAAATTTAAAATTTTTTTAAACATATTGACAACTAAAATATTTTATTTAAGTAAAATAAACTTCAAATAAATACATTTTTATACATGATAATCTTTATTACAGACATTTCACATTTGAGCTATGCAGCATATTCATGGATGGACCACATATGAACATCGATTGATTCGTCGGGGATCACAGGTGGCCAGTTTTCCTTCAGTCCGTGTGGTGAGGAAAAATCAACTACGCCCTCCTCTCGGAACCTCTTGTCGTAATTCAACTTTATTTTCTTGGAGGTGTCGGACGAGACAAGCTGGAATCCGAGGGTCCGCTCTATTTTTTTGTAAATGTTAATTTCCACTTCTTCCAGTTCACCGTGAATGAGTCGACGGAGAGTGGCCAAGCTTGTTTGCTCCAAACAATTGTGCCGCAGTGTGATGCCCTTGATTTTGCGAATAGCATCCTTGGATCCATCGGTGTTTTGGAGCGCGAGGCCGTAGTTTTTGGGTGCGACAGCAAGGTATTCACTTATTACTTGATTTGGCACTTCGTTTGTCAGTTGACCTAAGCCATTTCCCGTCTTGAAAATTGGCTCTCCTTTTTTCTGAACTACAATGACGGAATCTTAAATTTTTTTTCAACAAATTAGTATATAATTTATCAATTAAAAAACAATTTATAACTCACCAGTGTCAGTATACAACACTCTGTGTCCACCCAAATCCAATAGTCGGTAAAGCAAAATTCGAGCTTGAGCAGTAGTGAAAGCTGCAACTACTACATTAATTCCTTTTGGTTGTGAGGCCTCGTCCTTATAAGTGGCTATCATTTTCTCGCCAAGGTTCGTTAGAAGACTTTGAACCTCGACATTCGGTGACGACAGCAGCCGCAAAAGCTCACTCCTCTCGTCGAGGATCGCAGTTTTCGTCATGTCCGTCCTCATGGCAAATCGTCCCCTAAAGATAAATATGATTTTAAAAATTGAAAAATGGAAATAATTTAAATATTTTACCAGAGAGAATTAAGAATTAACTTGGCAATGTACCGCATCACTTCATTTCGCTCAATTTTGTTGGGATCTAGTCTTATGCCCTCTATTTGCCAAAATTCTTCTACATAGGCGTCTTTTTCCTCTTGAGTCATGTTTTCCCTTGGCCACCCTGAAGCCTCCTTCACATAAATAAAGAAAAATTTTAGTTAAAAAAGTTTTAATATAAAAAATTTTGTTAGAATTACCGCTTTGATTTTAAGGAAGCAGTTGACAAACTCTCCGAAAAGCCCATTCGAACCAAAGCCGTCCGGTCCAGTCATGTACTGAATTATTTCAGAATAGTCCCAGATCTCAAAAATTCTCCTGATCTTGTATTGATATTTGAGAGCCAACAGAATTTCGTAGCTCACCCACGTGCCAGTGAGTTTCCTCTGCTCTTCATTGTGCGGACAGTATTTAAACTTTTTCAGTCTGGCGCAAAGTGAGCACAAGTGGAAAAGCAATTTGCCATCCACTTTTTCGGGCAGCACAGGGTGATGGAGGTTTCCGGGCGGGTCCATTTCACAGTAGACTAGTCCGTTGACATCCTTTATGTCAGGAAAATCTTTGGTGTAAACCTTTGGATGACCAATTGGATATTTGCCATACTTGTTTACAAAACTGTACATTGAGGTGAAGTCCAAGTATTGAATTTCCTCATCTTCTCGGGGCAGACATTGAAGCCTAAACGCACTGCAGTGGCCACCAAAAAGTGCATTTCGCGCCCTCAAATATCCCATTTCAACGATGGGATCTGTGCACAATTTCAAGTACGTCTCAGCCTCGGATTTCATTTTTTCCTTCCACTTGCACTCGTACATTTCCACCACAGTATAACCTTGGTCTCGTAAGAACTTGGTTCGGGCGTAGGTTTTTGAACGAACCTCAATTCCTGTTCCGCGCGGTGATGAAGTTGCGTTCGGGAAACAGTCGACGCAACAATGGAACCAGCATCCTGCAACAAACAAATGCAATATGGTTAGCAAAAAAAACATCAATTTTTAGTTAAAAAATCAACAAAAGAAAAAATGAAAAAATGAATTGAATTTAAAAAACAATTATTAAAAAAAGTGAGAATTTAAATAAACTTCAAATTTTTCTAATTATAATTCTAAAATAAATTATGATTTTTTTTTAAAAATTAATTTTTTTAACTTGCAAAATTCAGATATTTTTTTTTAAAAGTAAGTAAAAAATTTTTACATAAAATATTAACTAACCATGGAATTGATAAATTGTTCCTGTATCAGGATCAAAACCGTCCACTGGTGCTCCTCCAATGACCTTTTCCTTTCCATTCCCAGCGTGTTGTAAATTCTTGATGCCCATAAATTTCTCCACATAGGTCAAATATTTTTGTCCTTCCTTACTTTGCGAGCCACGATACGAATCATTTTTTGGTAAAATCCCAATTGCTCCATTCAAGTAGTGATTTCTCTTGTATATCTCGTGTGTGAGTGAGGCCATAGTCAAGCTTTCCAAAAACGGCTCAATTCTGAACAGCCGAATCATTTCCCTGAATTTTAGTGCAGCAATTCTCAAAATGCGCACATCGTTTTTGCAATAGTGCTTAATATTTTCGCGAAAGTTCCAAGTTGAGCCACTTTCAGCGAGTTCTTTGTTGGTCTCCTCGTACCACTTTAAAAATTCTTCCCTCGCACCAGTTGTCATACAATCGGGACCGAACGTTTCAGCTGGAGGCAAGCGCCCCTCGTCGTAATTATAATATTCGGGCTTATTAGCATAGTGCGGGAAATGGCCTTTGACAACATTCTCAATTTTGAAAGCTTTTGGCAAGTCGGCCAGTTTAGCAGGCGTGAAGTTGACCATGTCAAGCCATTTCAAAGACACTCCACTTTCTTTATTTTTTATCCGCATTTGCAAAATTCGCAGTCCACTCATTATTATGTCCTTGACAATCCAATTTTCATCGTTCATCACATGGGAAAGGACAAGATGATTGTCAAACGACGCTGCGTTGAATTGCAGCACAATACCCTGGTGTCGGTTAAATGATTTTCTAGATTTACATTTATCATTCATGTAGTTGAGAAATTCACCCACAACACTTTTGTCAGGTTGATCAAAGTTGTCGAATGACTTTTCTCTTTTCCCGCACCAGTAACAATTATCTTCTCCTTCGTGATCGTCCAAACAGTTCACACAGCGATTTGAGACGTGCACTAAATTGGCCATGTGCTTGTACTTCACTTTATCATTGACACTAATTGTTTGGTCTTGACGAGTCTCAAAATCTGAGAAAAAGTAGATTACATTTTTGCCCAGTTTCATCAATTCCTCCTCCGAAACGTCGACGCTCTTGATCGAGCAATAATGTGGAATTTCCTTGTATTCCTTGCAGGAGGAGCAAAAGGTAGTTCCACAAACGTGTGCCATTCCGTTCAATTTTTTCATTTCGTAAACATTTCCACAATTTTGACAAGCCTTTTTTTCTTCACAAACGTTGTTTTTCAAATGGCCATCGAAGCACTTTTTATTGTAAAACTTGAAATTACAGTGAAAGCATGTAACTTCCCATCTTGCTGTATCACCAATCATGTCATTCGGAGATTGATATTTGCAGAAATCATTACACTTGAAACACTTGCTGCCTTTACATTCCCTGTGGAATAGGTTGTCCACAGGCTTCTCACAGAAGTCGCAAAAATGCTTTTTATCAAAGAAAGCTTTCGCCGAGAGAAGAGCGTGAAAGTGCTTCTCTTTGTCCATGTACAGAAATATTTTTTTTCTGTTTTCATCACCGTCAACATAATCGCTTCCGAATATTCTTGACTCCAAAGTGACACCAGCGAAGGCGATTATTTTATACTCTCTGCCAAATATTTCCTGGATTTTTTGCAGGTTTCTGTGCCCTGACCCATTTTTAAAAGGAAGCCCAACGTCTCTAATAAGTTCAAAAACCTTTTGAGTGAAAGCTTTTGAATTTTGTGCTTTTGCTTGTCTCCACTCATTAGATTCACCTTTTTCATTTGCGGCCACTCTATCGGCATGTATTTTTCCCACAAGAGCAGCAAAATACACACAAGAATCTTTGCAAGAGCCAAGTTCAATGAGATCACTTTTTGTCAAAAGCTTGTCTAGCTTATTATTCTGGTCATTTTTTGCAGGAATGGAACTTGATTTTGCTGAAATGTCCAAATTCCCTAAAAATCTGCGCCCACGGGCTCCCAAGTCATTGACAATAACAGCAATAATTTTGAAACTGTCGTCAATTGTGAACTCATCTCTGGACTGTGAAATTCCGCTGATCGAATTGAAAATCAAATTTGGCTCGAATTGGTTTTTTCGCATGAGCGGAATACCTGCCTCCTTTGGCTGGGCGCGAGTTGAAAGAGTTATTCCGATCCATGAATCGTCCGAAACATCTTTAATGATGTGCAAAATTACATCTCGAATTGCTAGAATGTCCCCCATTGGTGCATCTCGAGCACTTTCGGAAACTTTAAATTGAGCAATAGTGGTCAGAGTTTCAAATTTTTCATCTTTTGCGTCCGATCTAGCAGTTATTTCAAAATATTCTCCTTTTTCAGGATTGTCTAATTCATCGAGCTGCTCCAACCTTGCCTTTTTGGTCTGCTCTCTTACTTTTGCGCGAACACGCTGACGCTCCTCGACATCCCTTGCCTGTTCGTTCTCTGCTGAAGAATCTCTTGGCTGGACAGTTTGCTGAGATGCTGCTGCTGCTGTGTCTGGGGGTGCTGGGGGTGGTGCTGCTTGCCGAGTGTCCACCGATGCTGAATCGTTTGCTTTCGAAGGTAATTTCCCTGCTCCAATTTGGCCCATGACTTTGTCCTTTTTGTTATTTTGTTTCTATAATATTGAATTGAATTGTTAATTTTTTTATCTTTCTTTAAGCATGATAAAGTGCTAAAAAGGTAATTTTTTAAATGAAGCTGGCCAAAAATTGAAATTTTTAATAATAAAGTTTTTCTGAATCTTGATTTTAAAAAAAATTATTTTTCAACTTTTTAATTTGATATCTGTAATATTAAATGATAATGAAATCAAACAAATTTAATTTTATAAAACATCTTTTTTATTTGAATAGACAAGATAGCAGGAGTACAAAGAAAAATCAAAATGAACTTTATCGTACTGAAATTACATTGTAAAAGTTAAGATTTGCAACTGCATTCATGGAATAATAACATTTTTTTTTATATAAAAAGTTAAGATTATAAAATCATGAAAGGAAAAATAACAGATTCACACCGTTTTATTCTTCGGCACAAGGAACCTCTCGATGGTCTCGTTGGAAGCAAGTTCTCGCTCCACAACTTGCTGATCCGCAGTTTTCTTGAGCTTCTTCCTGATCGCCTTCAGCATCTTTTCCAGAGTGGAGTCAAACTTCAGTTGGCCCTAAAATCAAATTAAAAGATATTTTATTACTCAATGAAATTAAATTGCAGAGAAAAAATACTCACATCAATGACAACGTCGTACGCACTGGCCAACTCTTGCATCTCTGCGGACAATCTGCTCCGCTGTAAAAGAATCAAACAAAAATTAATTTTTTTTAATTTTACTTTAAAATATTAATACTTACATATTGGGCGACAGTGACGTAATGAATATACTCCAGGTAGTGGGAAGGCAATTCGGGTAGCTCGACAGCATTCGGGATGTTTTGGCGAGTGACAGCTTTCAGGGCCTCCCTCAAGTCCTGGTCGTTCTGTGAACAGAATAAAATAAAATTGTAAACAATTTGAAATATTTAAAATTATATTTTATGCATACCTTCTTCCACTTTCTCTCATAGTTGATGAGTGCTGTAAAGGGAAGGCGCTGTGAACAAAACAGAAAATTATTATTAAAAAATCAGTCAATAAATTTTTGTTTATTTTTGTTTGAAAAAAAATTAAAAAATTTGTAATACTTACAGCATCTTTAGCCTGCTTCTTTGCCGAGTGGAGTTGCTCCTCTTGGTTCTTTGAGAAAGTGCTGCTGTATTGAAAATCAGTGGGCATCGTTGGTCGATCACGGGGTAGATGGGCATTGAAATCCTTGTGCTCAACTGGAACTTGACTGAAGACCTGTTCTGAAGTAATGCTCCTTTTCTTTTTCTTGACAGGTGAACCAGCAGTATCGGAGTCTGAAGATGAAGAGTTTGAGGAAGCGTCGGACTTGTTCTTCTGCTGCCTTCTCCTCCGTCTCTTCTTGCTGACGGACCTCTCCGGCTCAGTCTCACCATCACTGCTGGATTCACCCGAAGGACCAATCTCCGGACTGGACTCCACCGAGGGCTCAGCTGAGGCCTCGCTCTTCTCCTCGGCAGCCATCTCTGATCCCATCGGCTCGACACTCGCTGCAGCCCCTGCGACTCCCTCTTCACCAATCTGCTCTTTCTCCATTCCCCTCGGCTCTTGCTCGCCATCTGACGAGTCTGAAGAAGAGCAGGAGGAACAGGAGGAAAGGCTGGGTGAGCCAGTTTTTGTCTTCTTGCAGGGAGGCTGCTCCGCTTCCTCCTCATCAGAACTGTCGGACAAGGGTGGGACAACCTCCGAAGTCTGCGGAGGGCAGGAAGCCACCTCTGCACCAGCTTGGTCAGTTTCCTAGAAAATAATTATAACAAGTTAGTTATTTTTTTTTAAAACAGTTTTTTTCCTTAAAAATTTTCATAATAATTAAAAAGAAATATTTAAATTTAGATAAAAAAGTAATTTTTAAAACAGTATTTTACTTAAAGTTGCTCAAACTAGCCTAAAAGATATATGTAAACTTTATAAAATTGAAATTTATTTACCATATCTTCCAGAGTTGAAGTCACCAAGTTGTCGAGGTCCAAGCTGCTGCTGATCTGCTCCTGCTGCTGGGACTCCTGCTGCTGGGACTCCTGCTGCTGCTGCTGCTGTTGGATGTCTTCTGTCCCCACAAAGGACACCATTTCACCCTCCTCGAGTAGGAAAGTCAGATCGACAGCTCCCTTTGCGCGCCTGGCCAGCTCTTCCAGCTCTTCCTGCTCGACTGCAACAAGAAAAGCTGCAGATTCAGAATCTTCCTTCCTCCTGGCAGCCTCCTTCTCAGCCTCTTCCTCGGCCATGGCAGCTTTCTTCTTCTCCTCCTCTTCCAACTGCTTACGAGCCTTCTCTTCTTCTTCGAGCTTCCGCTGCTTCTCCAGTTCATCTTCCATCTCCTGTGAACACAAGAATTTATGGTAATTAATTATATGTTTTATTTATTTTATTTTATTACAAACTTACTTTGAGTTTTGTCTCCAGCAGGGTAATGTTGGACTTGAGTGTGTCCTCGGCAGCCTTCTTTGCAGCCTCAGCTTCCCTTGTCGCATCAGCACACTGCAGGTCAAACTTGGTCTGGAGCTGTGATTGAAGTCGATAAGTATTTTTTTTTATTGCTATTGAAAAAATTTAATTTACCTCATTCAGAATAGTCTTGAATTCAACGTTCTTCTTCTTTAGATTTTCCCGTTCTTGATGATTTTCTCCGAGACCCTCCTCCAACACTTTTTTTCTTCTTTCACCTTCAGTCTGCAATTTTTCAAGAGAAGCACCCTCACTCTTCAGTTTCTCCACCAACGCTGTGTCTCTTTGAACTTGCAGCTTCCACGCAGCAATGCTTTCGTTCTTCCGAGTGATGGTTTCCTCCACCTCTTGTATTTTGCGATGCTTCTGCTCCAAGTCTTTGTTAAGTCGACACACAAGATCTTTCTTGATTTCCAGTTCATCCGTGAACTTTTTATCTGCATCGTCCAGCAGGAGCAATTTCTTCTCCGACGACTCCTTGCCCTCACTTGCCTGCTTTCGAGTGTGAAGCATGAGGGATTTCAGGTTTTGTTTGTTTGTTTCCAGAGTCTTTGTAAATTGCTGAGGCAACTCCATGAGTAACCTTTTATGTTTTGCCAGTTTGTCTCCGACGATGGCCACATTGGCGAGAGTGACTGACGGACAGGAAGCCTCGGCCTTTGGGTCGTACACCTCAGCCACAGGGTACCCTGGAGCGGTAACCACAGCCACAGGAGGATGGTTTACATCCTGTGCGGACGGTCCACAAGCAGCCTCCCCCCGGTTCTCACCTCCACCATCTCGAGGCTGACGAGGCACGTTCGGCTGAGCCATTGCTGTTGGTGCTTTGGCTGGAATCGAGATGAGTTTCGGAGCAGTGCGAACCTGGGAAGCTCCAGGAAAGATTGGAGTAGTCTTTCTTTTCGCTGCTGCACCCGTCTGGCCTGAACCGAGGTTCGCAGTGGATTGAAGGGGTTGGCGCTTCGTCGGAGGAGATTTGAAAACGTCCTCATCGGACGAGAGGATGAACTCCATCGACTTGGCCAACCCCTTGGGTCCAGGCTTCTTCTTCATTGGAGGATTCTCCTTATTAGGTGCACCCTTTCCCCCGGAAGGGCGCTTATTCTGTAAAAAAAATTGATTTTTCCGTTTTGAATAATTAATTATTTAATTAATAATTTAATCTCTCAAATTTATTACACTGAAAATTCATAAATAAAATTCAGGGCAGAAAAAAGATTTGAAAAATTAAAAGATTCATATCAAAATTTACAGTCTGAATTTTTTACATTTTTATTTTAGATTTTGCTTATTATTATGATTTATTTTTATTATTTAATAGGTTTTGTCAGAATGAATAAATTTCTGTTAAATTTTGTTATCAGCAAAATTTCAAAATATTTTGCTCATTAATTGGTATTAAATCAAATTTCAATATTTTTAAAAGAATAAATCCCATAAAAATTTATCTCTCAGAGTAAATGAGAACAGAAAAATTACTTACGGAAGCACCAGTTAGTTGATTCTTCGACATTGCCCAAAATGGTCAAAAACGAGCAGTGGACAACTGGGTGAAAAGCTCACTTCCTTCTCTTACGGAAGCACACAATGCAACTGCACGCTGCTTTCCTAGTGCGGGTGCGAGTGGTGGGGCGCTCGCTTTGTCTACCACTCTCACTTTTCCAAGCTTTGATTTAGCTTCCAGCCATATTCCTTATAACTCAACAGTCCCTTTAATTTTCCACCCCATGTGCAAGGGATGCTTCTCCGACACACATACAAACTATTACGAAGCAGTAAAATTGCAAAAAAAAAAACTAATGTATCACAAAAAGTACTCCTGGATATTAAATTTTTATTTTGTTCTACAATTCTCCTTATTTTTAAATAAAAATAAATTTGTTTATTAATACGAAGAACTAATAATTACCATTCTCCGTTTATTTTCTTAAAAATTTGAAATTTTTAAACCTTTAAAAAGTGATGTTTGGGGGTTATTTAACCTGGAAATAAAATTTTATTTTTATTTCAAATAAAATACAATTTATCTTATCTCCATTAAAAAAAAGCAGGTAAAATTAAAAAAAATTCGCCAAAGGAACGAGTCAAAAATTCGCGGCAGAGCTCTCAAATATATTCCCGAGACCAAAATCACTAGCATTGGTGGCGCCGAGAACAATTTTTGTGATTTTTATTCCATTGATTTCAGTCGCCTGTAAATAGAGTTCAGTCTAAGAATTTAAATTAAAATCCACAACGACGCGCACACAACCAGCCTAGTAAAAATCCATTCAGTCGACGGAAATGACAACTGGCGCCGGCCGCGCACTTAGTCAAACGCCTCTAGCCGCTGCTCAATTACACGCCACTCTCTCGCCAGCACGCACCAAGTGCACCTCGCTCGCTGTACAAATAAAATACACACACTCTCTTCGACGGCGCGCACTAAGTCCACACACAATCAACCAGCGATAAAATAAAATTAAAGCTAACAGATACTTGATCGACTCTTTCGCACATCGCTGCCGGCCCGCGTTAAAATAAAATACACACAGCCAGCCAAAATATTACAAGTATAAAAGATGTATGCGCGCCTCTCTCTCGCGCTCGCACCGCTGCCGCCCTGTGTACAATACAGGCGCGCGCGGCCCTGCCTAATAATAAAATAATAGCCCACCATATGAAAATATTCTAAGTCCAAAAGTTGTATCCAGGTGGGTATCATCTTCTTATTTACGCGATTTTTTGCAGAGATTTGCTGCTGGGGTTTTTTGGATATTTCTTTCTATTGCTAATTGAATTTGAGTTTGAGGGTGATGGTGCTGCTATCTTCGGGGATGGAGCCGATGGGGCGGGCTGCCTACTCAGGTGGCGCGCGGCCCTAGGGCCGGCCTCCTTTCTCGGCAGCGATCGCCTGATGTTTCCCGCGACTGTCCCACGTTGCCCGACCGAGACTGAGACTTTCTCGGCCAGCGCGTCGATGCTGCGCCTCATGCCAGACAGCTCACTGGCCAGATCTGCCGTACTGGGCGCATCATGAGCCACGGTTTGGGTTGAATGGGGCTGTGCTGGGGGCTCGAGCGGAGAGAGGGGTGAGACTTTGGGTACTTCCAAGATACCGACTATTACCTTCTCATTGGGAATTTGCCGGGGGGGTCGGTGATCGGAATCAAGTGGGGGCAGCTGGTGCAGGCTACCCCCACCGGCAAAATTTTCCCGAAGATTCTCAGCCTCCCTTGCTCCTTCCAGGTCAGCAAAGAACTTTGCCAGACTCATAGACTCCTTCTTGCCGTCGCCTCCTCCAGAGTAGTTGGTGGCCTCCAGACTAAAATTATTTTCCTCCTCAGGGTAGGTTGACTGATTCAAATTTAATTCACCTTTGTTTGCAGGTGATGAGGTGGGGCTGGACGCACGGGAGGGCACCCCAGCTTTTTTACAGGTCTCCGGTGTGCGCCCAGCTTGTCCACCTGATCCTGCTGTAGTTTTGGCCGCTTTTGACGGGGCACGGCCACGCCCGGGGTCAGCTGCGGGCCTCGCCACCTGCTCCTGGCGCGCCTGCTGTTTGGTCATGTCTATCTCCCATCGGCGAGTAGGCGAAGTTTTTTGTTTTTTTAGGTGGCTCGGCGGCGCAGCTGAAACAAGAGAGACAAGAGATGAGTTATTTTGTTTTTCACCCTGGGATGGAGAATTTATAGCGCTTTGGCTTAGCCTGCTGTTTGATGATTGGTACCTGACGATATATGTCGATTTTTATGATCAGACTTAGAATTAAAAATTCAAAATATGAGGTACTTGGTACTTATAAATATTTTTTTTGACTTTCTGAAAAGGTCTCAGTGACACTTATGAAGACCCTACGTTTTCACATTTTTTTCAATGAATTCCAAGTCTAATATTTATTGGTACCTGACTAACCTGACGATATATGTCGATTTTTATGATCAGACTTAGAATTAAAAATTCAAAATATGAGGTACTTGGTACTTATAAATATTTTTTTTGACTTTCTGAAAAGGTCTCAGTGACACTTATGAAGACCCTACGTTTTCACATTTTTTTCAATGAATTCCAAGTCGTATATTTATTGGTACCTGACGATATATGTCGATTTTTATGATCGGACTTAGAATTAAAAATTCAAAATATGAGGTACTTGGTACTTATAAATATTTTTTTTGACTTTCTGAAAAGGTCTCAGTGACACTTATGAAGACCCTACGTTTTCACATTTTTTTCAATGAATTCCAAGTCGAATATTTATTGGTACCTGACGATATATGTCGATTTTTATGATCGGACTTAGAATTAAAAATTCAAAATATGAGGTACTTGGTACTTATAAATATTTTTTTTGACTTTCTGAAAAGGTCTCAGTGACACTTATGAAGACCCTACGTTTTCACATTTTTTTCAATGAATTCCAAGTCGTATATTTATTGGTACCTGACGATATATGTCGATTTTTATGATCAGACTTAGAATTAAAAATTCAAAATATGAGGTACTTGGTACTTATAAATATTTTTTTTGACTTTCTGAAAAGGTCTCAGTGACACTTATGAAGACCCTACGTTTTCACATTTTTTTCAATGAATTCCAAGTCTAATATTTATTGGTACCTGACTAACCTGACGATATATGTCGATTTTTATGATCAGACTTAGAATTAAAAATTCAAAATATGAGGTACTTGGTACTTTTTTGACTTTCTGAAAAGGTCTCAGTGACACTTATGAAGACCCTAAATTTTCACATTTTTTTCAATGAATTCCAAGTCGTATATTTATTGGTACCTGACGATATATGTCGATTTTTATGATCAGACTTAGAATTAAAAATTCAAAATATGAGGTACTTGGTACTTATAAATATTTTTTTTGACTTTCTGAAAAGGTCTCAGTGACACTTATGAAGACCCTACGTTTTCACATTTTTTTCAATGAATTCCAAGTCGTATATTTATTGGTACCTGACGATATATGTCGATTTTTATGATCAGACTTAGAATTAAAAATTCAAAATATGAGGTACTTGGTACTTATAAATATTTTTTTTGACTTTCTGAAAAGGTCTCAGTGACACTTATGAAGACCCTACGTTTTCACATTTTTTTCAATGAATTCCAAGTCGTATATTTATTGGTACCTGACGATATATGTCGATTTTTATGATCAGACTTAGAATTAAAAATTCAAAATATGAGGTACTTGGTACTTATAAATATTTTTTTTGACTTTCTGAAAAGGTCTCAGTGACACTTATGAAGACCCTACGTTTTCACATTTTTTTCAATGAATTCCAAGTCTAATATTTATTGGTACCTGACTAACCTGACGATATATGTCGATTTTTATGATCAGACTTAGAATTAAAAATTCAAAATATGAGGTACTTGGTACTTATAAATATTTTTTTTGACTTTCTGAAAAGGTCTCAGTGACACTTATGAAGACCCTACGTTTTCACATTTTTTTCAATGAATTCCAAGTCGTATATTTATTGGTACCTGACGATATATGTCGATTTTTATGATCGGACTTAGAATTAAAAATTCAAAATATGAGGTACTTGGTACTTATAAATATTTTTTTTGACTTTCTGAAAAGGTCTCAGTGACACTTATGAAGACCCTACGTTTTCACATTTTTTTCAATGAATTCCAAGTCGAATATTTATTGGTACCTGACGATATATGTCGATTTTTATGATCGGACTTAGAATTAAAAATTCAAAATATGAGGTACTTGGTACTTATAAATATTTTTTTTGATTTTCTGAAAAGGTCTCAGTGACACTTATGAAGACCCTACGTTTTCACATTTTTTTCAATGAATTCCAAGTCGTATATTTATTGGTACCTGACGATATATGTCGATTTTTATGATCAGACTTAGAATTAAAAATTCAAAATATGAGGTACTTGGTACTTATAAATATTTTTTTTGACTTTCTAAAAAGGTCTCAGTGACACTTATGAAGACCCTACGTTTTCACATTTTTTTCAATGAATTCCAAGTCTAATATTTATTGGTACCTGACTAACCTGACGATATATGTCGATTTTTATGATCAGACTTAGAATTAAAAATTCAAAATATGAGGTACTTGGTACTTATAAATATTTTTTGGACACTCAAACATTAGAGAACTGCTTGAAAATACTAAACCTAAACGCTCCTAAGCAGCACACAGTCGGAGTTTTCGCCAGCGATAAAATTCCATCAAAGTTAAAGAAACCTGCTGCCATCATAATTCACTCTGAAATATCGAAAGTTACAACTTACGGTCACTGGACGGCAATTTTTCTTCCAACCAGAGGTTTACCTGTTTATTTTGACAGCTTTGGACTTCCGCCAGTGGTTGAAAACCACATTAAATTTTTGTCAAAGATCTCAAAATTTTACAATTATAATGCCACATGCTACCAGAGTCCCACAGCTCTCACATGTGGGAAGCACACTTTATTGTTTCTTGCGTCAAAAATGGGAATCATTCCAAACACATTTTTTGATACTATTACAAAATTGTCAAAAAATAACCTTGAGCTCAATGACAAAATTGTCGAGCACTGCTGCAATTGGCTGGTTGAAAATCTCGGAAAAAATGGGGGGAATAGTGGAGGGGATGATTCAGGGCTATAAAGCGGCGAGATTCAGAAGATCAGCTTCACACATCTGTGCCCGCCGTCACGCCAAAGTTGTCGTTTTGACTAAAAAAAATTGAAAATCCAGAGCCATGGCTGACATTAAAAAGGGTAAATATGATGCTAAGCTGGTCAAATTTGGGGTGGCCGCGACCCTTTTTGCTGCCAACAAGAGGAAGCAGCTGTATGTCCCCCGTGATCAAACTAAGAAAAATAACTACGTTGAAACAAGCGACAGAGTAAATCAAATTTATCGCTTCGTTTACCCAATAAACAAAAGTGGCACGAAGCAACTGGTGATTGGTGCCGACCCGAAACTTGACTTTCTTCCCACTATGTACATAAGACGGCCTGGTTTTCTGGGAGTTAAGTTGGGCCACGCTGCGAGCAGAATGTTTATGGATCAATTGGAATTAATAAATAACTACTTTGATTCCGACACTCCAGTTTGCCAAGACAAGAAAAAGATAATGTTGGGAGAAGTTGAAACTTTGGAGTTTGGTTCCTTTGGCAACGTCAAAGCCATTCACCTGACTTCAAGAGTTGAAGGCCAAGAGTACGAGCCAAAAATAACTTTGACCAACAGCACGATTGAGTTCATCAATGATTTGAAAGACCTAATCTGGTGGGTTCTCAATTCACTGGATTCGTATGCTGGTGAATTTAAATCAATGTTTGCGGCCTTCAAAAGTAAAATTGAGGAACCTGGATGCCTGCCCTCCACCGAGAAATTGGAAATTCTGCGTCACCTCGAGACAACTGACATCAGCTTTCAGCGGTCTGCCGAGAATCTCAACTTGGATTACTTGAGAGCCTTCATGGAGATTCGAAAATATTGTGAAGCTCATCTGACTGTTTAATAAAAAATTGTATGATATGTTTTAGAGTTAAAAAGAAAATAAAATTGTAAGTTTAAAATGATTTCTGAATAAAATTTATGCTTAACTTAAGAAAAAAAATAAAAGATAAAATTTTGAAAATATTACAAAAAAATGGAGAAATAATGTTATGTAAAAGAACCAATAAATAAATATGCTTGTGAGTGAGAAAAGAAATAATAATAATAAAATTATAATAATAATATTAATGGAACTGACTTCTTAATCAAATGTATGCAAATTTTTTAATTAAATGTAAGTTGATTTTAATTAATAAATCTATGACAATTTAATGAAATAAATAAATAAATAAAATATGCAAAATAAAAAAAACTTTATCAATGGTAAAATATTTCTCCCGCCTCTGCACAAGAGCATGTGGCGTTGCCGCCAATTTTTGAACAAAGAAATAGTAAGACTTCTTAGTGTTGACCAATCATAAGAGACCAGCTGATATCATACATATGTTGGATGACAACAGAATAAAGTCCAACTTTTTAAAATTATTTACATCATGAAAAATAAATAGTAAGAGGCAAGTTCAGCATTTATTAAAATAGAGATTTTAGTATGGAACAAGATGATGACAAAAAATCTTTAGAGAAAGTTACGAGAAACGGCAGGTTTTCGCTGATTTTTTATTCTCATGTTTTTTGTGTTGGTCAGCCTGCAAATATCTAGACTGATTTGTTATTATTTGTTTTGGAGATGATTTTGATCAATTTGGTTTTGGAAGTTTTTTTTTGTTATTTATGGAGTGAAAATTGTTGACAATGCCCATCGAGAGTATTTTTACAAAGAGCAGCAGATCAAAATGCAAAGTTTGTCTTCATTCGGATCTGATTCGTATGAGAAAAAGGTAAATTTTTTGCTTCGAAAAGTTCAATCCACTTCGACCACCAAATAGCACTATTTTTAATGGCCAATTGTGCACTTGAAATCAGCATATTAACATAATAAAAAGTGCATTTTAACAAAATATAAAGTGCATAATGTGATAATGAAAATCTATTTTGTATATTTTTTATTCTGTAATGTCAAACTTTTGAAGCAACAAAATTACATATTTTT